GTCAGCTTTCCTGCTCCTCTGATGCTGCCTGGCCTGCTGTGTTCCCCCAGCTCCACACTGTGTTATCACAGAATTTATAAGGTCACACCACTGGTCAGGATATATTGAACAAACGTGAGATGCTGGTAAATCTTCAATCAGTTAGAAGGTTTTAACTGATTAATATGTATATGTAAATCCTCAAATTCCTTACAAGTCACTGTCCTGAGGGAATGAAAGGTTTTATCAGTGTAAAGAAGAGGTGACATTTTAGGTCGGACAATGTATGTTAGGTATGAGGCCTTGTTTAGAATCTGTTTGTATTTTGGCTTGGAGTCCGACTGGTTTTATTTCTGAAAAAGGAATTTATAAAATGCCACATTGACTGACTATCTGTAAATTGGGTGCTTTTTGAACAAAATAGAATGTAATGCTAAATACAAGTTCACCCCAAAGATTCACATGTGTGTGCATGTGCGCGAGACTGTGTGTGTATGTGATGTGGAGAGAGAGAGGAGAGTGAGTGAGTGCATGTCTGTGGGTGGCGGGGGGAGATGGGGTGGGGATAAATACAGGGACAGGGAGACAGAGCGCGCGTGAGGGAGAGAGCGTGCAAGGGACGAACAGAGTATGAGCGAGCACGTGTGAGGGAGAGAGTATGAGTGCGTATGCTCGGGAGACTGTGTGTGTACGAGAGAGGATCCGTGTGCGAGTGTGTGAGAGTGTACAGTGTGGTGGGGTCACCAGTAGTGCGACATGAACCCAAGATCCTGGACGAGGCTGCCCTCATGAGTACCGAACTTGGCTATCAGCCTCTGCTCGGCGACCCCGAAAATCCGAGGCCAAATCTCCTTGACCTCTGAAGCGATCTCCCCCGGGAATTGTCTGGCGATTGTTGTGTGGTGTCCATTCATCAGTTGTAGCGTCTGCATGGTCTTGCCAAAAAACCATGCCTCGGGGCATCGTTGCCTGCAGCATATGAGATAGACAACATTGGCTGAGTCACATGAGTATCTGCTGTGCATGTGGTGGGTGGTGTTTCCACGTGTGATGGTAGTGTCCATGTCAAAGATCTTGTCTGTCTTGCAGAGGTTGCCATGACAGGGTTATATAGTGTTGTGGTCGATGTTGTCCTGAAGGCTGGGTAGTTTGCTGTGAATAATAGTTTGTTTAAGGTTTGGCGGTGAGAAGTGGAGGTGTGGGGAAGATCTTGGCGAGGTGTTCATCGTCATCGATAATGTTTTGAAGGCTGCAAAGAACGTGACGTAGTTTCTCCGCTCCCAGGATGTATTGGATGATGAAGGGTACCCTATCGGAAATATCCCGTGTCAGTCTTGTAAGGAGGTCATTATGGTTTTTGCTGTGGCACGTTGGAACTGGCAATCGATAAGTTGAGCATCGTAACTTGTTCCTGTGAGGGTGTCCTTCAACACCTTCAGGTATCTGTCTCATTCCTCCTCATCCGAACAGACCCTGTGTATGCATTAGGCTTGTTTGTAGGGGATGGCTGTTTTAATATTTTTAAGGTGGAAGCTACAGAAGTGCAGCATCGTGAGGTTATCCATAGGATTGAGGTGTCTGTCCCTGATAGAGATGCACATGTCCAAGAATGAGATTGATTCTAAAGAGTAGTCCATGGTAAGTCTGATGGTGGGATGAAACTTGTTGATATCGCAATGTAGTTGTTTGTGATTCCTTGCCATGAGTCCAAAGGAGGAAAATGTCAATGTATCTGGTGTGTAGCATTGGTTGGAGATTCTGTGCAGCAAATAAGTCTTGTTTGAATGTGTGCATGAAAATGTTGGCATATTGGGGAGCAAACCTGGTCCCATGGCTGTTCCGTGTGTCTAGGTGAAGAACTGTTTGTCAAAGGTGAAGATGTTGTGGTTGAGCGTGAAGTGAATGAATGTAGGATGGCGTCTGGAAATTGGCAGTTGTTGGTATTGAGTACTGAGGCTGTTGTAGTGATGCCGTTGTTGTGGGAGATGCTGGTGTAGTGTGCCAAAACGTCCTTTGTGACGAGGAATGTTCCTGGTTCAACTAGTCTGTGGGTACTGAGTTTCTGTAAGAAATCTGTAGTATTGCGACAGAAGCTGGGGGTTCCCTGGACAATGGGTTTCAAGATGCTCTTGACATAGCCAGAGAGGTTCTCATACAGGGTCCCATTGCCTGATACAATGGGACGTCCAGGTGTGTTGGTTGTGTATCTTTGGAAGGCAGTAGAAGTTTTCTATGTGGGATGTATGTGGGATGAGTGTGCACAGGGACTGGGTAGGGATCCAAAGTCTTGACCAGTCTGTTCAGTTGATGAGCGTGTTCTTTAATCAGATTGGCAGGTAGTTGTCGGTAGTGTTCCAGGTTGTTCAGCTGTTGGTACACTTCCTTACAGTAGTCCGTTCTATTCTGTATGATCTTTTACTTATAAATTCTGTGTCTGATACTACCTCTCTTACTAACACCTAAAGGAGGAGTGAGGCTCCAAAAGCTTGTGTTTTCGAATAAACCTGTTGGACTATAACCTGGTGATGTGTGATTTCTGACCTTATCCACCCCAGTCCAACACTGGCACCTCCACATTATTATTCTGGGGAGCAAGAGTGATTGTCCTAAGCAAAGGTCATTGCTAGATATTGGCTGAACTCCGCCAGAGTCACCCAGAGGTTTCCAAAATGAAGATGTTGGTGAGAAGTTACGTCTGGTGGCCAGGATTGGATGCAGACATAACCGTGTTGGTGGGGCAATGCCCAGAGTGTCAAGAAGGACAAAAAATACCACTAGTAGCTTCCCCACATTTGTGGGAATGGCCGGGTAAACCCTGGAGTTGGTTGCATGTCAACTATGCAGGTGCTTTGATGGGCTTTTTACTCATTGTGAATGCCCATAGTGGTTGGATGTGCATATAGACCATTCATCAAACACAGGAATGATGATGGTTGAAAAACTGTGCACATTTTTTTGCAAAACATGGACTCCTGGAAGTGTTGGTCACAGATAATGGGCCATTGTTTACCAGCAGGGAATTTCAGTATTTCATAAAGTCAAATGGCATTCGATATATAAGGACAGCTCCAAACCATTCTTCTTCCAATGGTGTTTCAGAAAAAGCAGTCAAACTTTGAAAGCAGCTTGAAGAAATTTGATTTCAAGATCACCCCTCATGCAACTATAGGGATAGCTCCAGCAGAGTTGCTAATGAAGAGAAGACTGTGCACCAGGGTAAATCTGATCTTCCTAGACTTGTAGTAGTGGGGGGAGGGGAAGAGGGTGAAATGGCATCAGGAATGCTAAGCGAGAGAGACAGTTTACCTCAGGGGATGAAGTTTGGTGGAGGTGCGACCATCCTGAACAAGCATGTGGACCACATGAAAGCTGCAAACTCGCAAACAGTGCGGGAGCAAAACGTACCTGGCCCCTTGACAGCCTTTTCAACTATCTGGAGCCTGTGGGTTCTCCCCACTCCATCAAACATTGAAGATAGCTCAGAATCTGAAATGGGCACGGCAGATGTTGCTGCCTCTGCCGCTGCCACCTGCCTGAAGAATAAATTTCTTCCGAGACACTCCGAGCGCAACAGGTGAGCTACTGTGCATTACACGCTACCCGTATCAGTGGCACAGTTGGAGGAACCCGACCCAGTGCTAAAATGCCCCAGGAGAAACTACAAAAAAAAACCCAGCCTATGTCCTTGGACTCAGAGGGGCAGGAATGTAGTGATTGTAATGAGGTCAGCCAAATGGACATCACAGAATGAGTTCCCTGATTGGGGATGTTAATCTGGTCCCATCAGGGAAACCTGTTCTTCTCCATCAGCCAGGAGTGCCAGACATCCTGTTCACTCTGACAGCTGGCTCAGCAAGCTGGATCAGTGTTAAGGACTCTCCATGTGTAAATAAATGATGACTTAGTGACAGGATACCGGCCTCGGTGGAGTTATTTCAGGTGACTTGGTATTTTGGTACTTTTAACATTGTGACCCTTTGGTGAGGACTGCATAATTAATAACTTAATTTACAATAAGCATTTGTTTAACATCCAATAATTTTCACACCAAATGAGAAGTTAGCCCAAGTTCTTAGTAACATTCTCCATGATTTAAGTATTAACTCAATTCACTGAGTGCAGTACCAAATTCATGTTGCTTAAGGTGGTAATTGTAATATAAAATCAAAATATAATGATAGTTAATTTTCTGTATTTCATAGTAACTTGTCAGTTAATGAATATCTGATTCAAAAAGTTTTTAAGAAATTTAATGATTTCAAGATGTAAGTGGCACTGATCTATTTATCAACTCAGTGGATCTCCCTGCACCAAATATCCCCAGCTAATTAGCAGGTATGAAACCCAAACACTAGATGGTGCAAATTAGCAATATGCTTACACTCTATTCCTGTCTGAGGAAGTGTTTGACTTCTGTTTGGTGCCCCCATCAATAGATGTACTGAAAAGAAAATACCTGATTTTCACTATTTTATTGCAAAGTGGCATAAGGCTTTTCAGATCCTGACATTGTGTTTAAAAAAGTAAGCCATATGGCCCAGTGGCACACTGTACCTCTGAGGCCAATCAGGGATGAATTTTACTGTTACTTTACCACACCACTGTAGAAGGCAACAATAACAGAATAAAGGCAGAACAACATTTACATTTGACAACTGTATTTTGTAAAATCCAGTATATCGTCATAGGAAGAAAATGTACAAATCTGGTTTCTTTCGCACACTGAGGTTTCATTCTTGTGAACTAGTCAAGGTATTTTTTAATGATAGATTTTCAAATAAAACGAATTGTGCATGTACAATATTAAAAGGAATGTTCTAAAACAATTAACTATATAGCCTTTTGTGCCCTTTCAAAACAATCTAGTATTTATAGACATGTACAAACTTAATTTGAAGAAACTACTTAAACTAGCTACTGACACAAGCAGGCATATATGCTTTCAATGATGGCAGTTTCACAAAGATGTACACAAAATTCTTTTACAGTAACCAATTACTATAAAAAGCTAAGCTATCACATGATTAATTTTTTCACCCTCGAGATCTGTTTTGTTTTCTAGTGTCAATCAGGACAGAACGTCTCAAAGGCTTTGGTGAGTCTTCTCTAGTCGAGGATTAAGGAGATCGCTGATAACAGTTTCTGCTGCAAAATGTCAAACTAAAAATGGATGAGTTTGAATATCAACCTGGTCACATGACTGATTGAATACAGTGCAATGCCAGAGCTCCTGGTTGATTATTTAATTGTGAAACTGTAGAATGCAACTAACTTGAATGTGCTTGATCAGTGTCTTAACCACAACCATCTAAACTTATTTTCTGTTCTGTTTTGGGGGTACAAAATACAATTGTTTTCCACATTACTACTTATATACTGTTTGTCATAATAAAAAAATTCTACTTAAATTCACAATACATTCTGCCTTTCTCCTCCCTCTTAAAAATTTTTGTAAACCACAAAGCTAAGATAGCAGTATCATAATAAATGAAGTTAAGACAAGGCATCACTAACCTGGATAATTGCACGTAAAACTATCCAGAAAAAATTACAATATTAATGATATTCTCTACCACTAAGATTATCAAGGCATTTTATAATTTGCTTCAACAAGTGCTATCTTTTCCAATAGACCTAATGTCCAAAAGTACTTCTTAAAAGTTAATTTCAAAGCATGAAGGCTTCCTCAAGAACAACGCCTGCAGATGATAGCAGCAAAAGAAACAAGCAAAATGGTGCAGAATACATTGACTGATTACACTGAGGTTGCTTCAATTGCAGACTCTCACAAACTCTAGAACAGTTCCCATCTCAACAGAAAATAAAATGTAGCAACATATGAGCAGTACAGTGCTTGGCACTGCTGCCCCTCAACGTCAGGGACCTGCGTTCAATCCCAAACTTGGGTGACTGTGTGGAGTATGCATGTTTTCCCTGTATCTGCATGGGAATCTGCTGGGTGCTCCGGTTTCCTCCCAAAGTCCAAAGATGTGCAGATGAGTTGGATTGGCTGTGCTAAATTGCTTAGTTGTGTCCAGGAATATGCAGGCTAGGTGGATTAGTCATGGTAAATGCAGGCTAAAGGGATGGGGGTGGGAGGGTGGAGGTGAGTCTGGGTGGCATACTGTTTGAAGGGTTAGTGCTAACTTGATGGACTGAATGGCCTTTTCTCTGCACTGTAGGAATTCTATTCTATTCTATAACCTGGGCTATATTTTGCTGGTAAAAATGGCACACATGAAAACAAACACAAATGTAGTAAGGGAATCACTTAGCAACCAAGTTTCTTTTTAAATATTCACTCATGGGATGTGGGTGTTGCTGGCTTGGCCAGGATTTGTTGCTTTTGAGAAGATAGTGGTGACCTGCCTTCTTGAACCACTGCAGTCTGCCTGCTGTAAGGTTCCACAATGCCACTAGGGAGGGACTTCGAAGATTCTGACCCAGTGACAGTGAAAGAATGGTGATATATTTCTAGGTCAGGATGGTGAGTGGCTTGAAGGGGAACTTGAAGGTGGTGGTATTCCCGTGTATCTGCTGACCTTGTCTTTCCAGACGGTAGTGGTTGTGGGTTTGGAAGGTGCTGCTCAAAGATCTTTGGTGAATTTTTGTAATTCATTTGTAGATGGTGCACACTGCTGCTACTGTGCATCAGTGGAAAGACAGTATTTGAGGATGTGGTGTCAGTAAATCAGGCTGCTTTGTTCTGGATGGTATCAAGCTTCTTAATTGTTATTGGAACTACCCTAATCCAGGCAGGTGGGGAGTATTTCATCATTCACCTCCCTTATGCCTTGCAGATGGTGGACAGGCTTTGGGTAAGTTACACGCGACAGTATCCGGGCCACCGACCTGCTCGTGTAGCTGCTGCATTTAAATGGTGAATCCGTTCAATTTTCTGATGAATGGTAACTCCCAGGACATTGACAGTGAGGAATTCAGGAATAGTAATGACGTTAAACATCTAGGGGCAGTGGTTAGATTATCTCTTACTGGAAATAGTCATTGCCATGCATTTGTTTAGCGTAAATGTTATTTGACATTTTTCAGTCCAAGCCTGGATAATATCCAGGTCTTGTTCCATTTGGACATGGACTGCTTCAGTACTAGAGGAACCATAAATAGTCTGAACATTGCACAATCAATAGCGAGCATCCACACTTAATGCTGGAGGGAAGGTGATGCAGCTGAAGATGGTTGAACTTAGGAAACTACCCTAAGGAACTCCTGCGGAGATGTCCTGAAGCTGAGATGACTGACTTCCAACAACCTCAACCATCCTTCCTACATGCCAAGTATGCCTCTCAGCATTGAAGAGTTTTCCGTAATTCATTCTGACTTCAATTTTGCTAAGGCTTCTTGATGCCATACTTAGTCAAATGTGGCCTTGATGTCAATGGCTGTCACTCTCATCTCACTTTTGGAATTCAACTCTTTTGTCCATGTTTGAACCAAGGCTGTAATGAGGTCCGGTGCCGATGACCCTGGGGGAACCCAAACTGGGCATCACTGAGCAGGTGCTGCTTGATGACACTGTTGATGACACTGTTGATGACACCTTCCATCATTTTACTGATGATCAAGAGTTAGACTGACGGTATCCAATGGCCAGGTTGGATTTGTCCTGCTTTTTGGGTACAGGACATACATGGGCAATTTCCCACACTGTCAGGCAGATGCCAGTGTTGGAGCAGTATTGGAACAGCTTGGCTAGGGGTGCGGTCAATTCTAGAGCTCCAGTCTTCAGTATTCTTGCCAGAATGTTTTCAGGGCCCATTGCCTTTGCTGTAGCCAATGCCTCCAACCATTCCTTGATATAATGTAGAGTGCATTAAATCATTTGGAGACTGGCATCTATGAACTTAGGATCTCTGGAGGGGTTGAGCTGGATCATCCACTTGGCACTTTGGCTGAGGATTGTTGTGAATGTTTCAGCCTTTTGCACTGGTGTGCTGGGATCTGCCGTCATTAAGGATGGAGATGTTTGTGGAGTCTCCTCTTCCAGTGAGGTGCTTTATGATCCACCACCAATCACAAGTGAGTGTGGCAGGACTGCAGAGCGTACATCTGATTCTTTGATTATGGGATCACTTGCTGCTTGTGTTGTTTTGTATACAAGTAGTCCTGTTTTGTTCCTTCAGCAGATTGATACCTCATTTTTGTCTCGTATGTATGCCTGGTACTTCTTCTGCCGTACCCTACTGTATTCTCTATCGAACCAGAGGTGATCCCATGGCTTGATGGATATGATAAAGCGGGGAAAATGCAGGGCTGAGAGTTTGCAGATTTGCACAGGAATATATTTCTGCTTCTACGGATGGCTGATAGCACATCATGGATGCCCAGGCTTAAGTTTCTAGATCAGTTTGAAGTCAGTACCATTTAGCACAGCGACGGTGCTGCACAACATGATGTAAGACAGTATCAAAGTGAAGAAGTGTATGGTGATTACCCTTACCAATACTATTGTGGACAAATGCATCTGCAGCAGGCAGATTGGTAAGGACGAGGTCAGGTATGTTTTTCCATCTTGTTGGTTCCCTCAACACCTGCTGCAGACGCAGACAAGCAGTATGTCCTTTAGGATCTGGCCAACTTAATTAGTAATGCTGCTGCCGAGCCACTCTTGTGGGGAACACTGAAATCTCCCACTCAGACTACATTCTGCGCTCGAGTTGTTCAACATAGAGGAGCGCAAAGTCATCAGCCAAGGGAGGGCAATACGTGGTAGTCAGCAGGAGATTTCCTTGCATGTGCATGACTTGATGCTACAAGATCTCATGTTGTCCAGAGGCAATGTTGAAGACTCGCAGGCTACTGCTCTCCTGGCAGTACACCAGTGTGCCCCAACCTCTCTGCTGGGCCTGTCTTGGCAATGGGACAGGACATACACAAGGGTGGTGGTGGTGGTGCCTGGAACATTCCATGACTGTAACTATCAGGCTGTTGCATGACTAGTCTGTGAGACAGCTCACCCAATTATTGCATTAGACCCCAGATGTGAGTGAGGAGAACTTTGTAAGTGTCTACGCTGATGACAGGTGGTCCATCCAGTTTCATTCCTTTTTTGAGATTGAATGGCTTGCTAGGCCATTTCAAGGATAGTTGAGAGTCAACCACATTGCTGTGGCTGTGGAGTCACACATAGACCAGATCAGGTAAGAATGGCAGATATCCTTTACTGAAGGACATTAGTGGACCACATGGATTTTTCTGACAATCGACAGTAGTTTCATAGTCATTATTAGATTCCTAATTCTAGATATTTATTGAATTTAAATTCCACCATCTGCTGTGGTGAGATTCAAACCCGGGTCTCCCAGGACATTACCCAAGTTTCTGGATTAATAGTCTATAACATGATAATATTGTTAGGCCATTGCCTGCCCTAATTAAGTTTTCCCTTACGTTAAATGCCATTAAAGGCGGTCTAGGGAGGAATAGTAAAGGAGGGCCCTATGGTGGCTATCCAGCCATTTCCACCAAGTGTATGAAGAAAGTCTGAACAAAAGTTTAGTTTCTGTTTTTGATGGTAATATCTATCTCAAATACTCCCACCCACTGCGATCCATGCCTGCCTTTTTACTTAGATCAGACAAATAAAATATAGGGTGCTGCGCAAAAGGCTTCATGGGTTATATGAAACTGATGCAAATAACCGATGATTATTGCAAGCTTCAAAGTCCTGAACAAACGTATTACTAACCAGTAACCACTACCTTCATTATCACAATTTTAATAAGCATTATGAAATGGGACAATATATTAAATTGAAAAAGTTAATGTTAATCTAGAAATATTTTCACTTGTTCAGAGAAAAAAAACAAAAATATTTCCAAAGATTTGTACACTTCCTGCCTTAAAGAAATTCAGTAATGAGAAATGAGAAAATAAAAATGTCAGCCAAGAATTCCCAATGTAACTTAAGAATTTATATCCAAGTACTCATACTGTTTGTAATAAATTGGATTGTGGTCAATTGAAATTGAAACATCAGGTCTTATTCATGCAAAAAGTAGGGTGACAATTATAAGTACAATTAACCTGCAAAATTAATTATTAGTCTGCAATACTGAAGTATTAAGTCAACTAATTTTCCACTGTCAATGCTGACATACAGCAGGTCCATCAGGTTAGCTAGCTATTGTTACAATTTAGAAGTCAAAACAGTAATTTTCTTTTCATCAGAAGATGTAATTTGAAAAATACTGAACAATGCTTTTTTTTTTAAACAGGTATTTTGCTACTGAGACACATTCAAAATTTTTCCATTTAAAATTACATTATTTCCATTGGTTTCTAGTTCATTTTACAAACAAGAATGTCTGAAGACAAACTCATGTTTTCTATTGACCTAGACTGACTGACATTGAATGAGAGAGAGATTTTGGCTGGAAAGGCAAAGGAAGATGTTTAAAACTACTGTAAATAGAAAAATGTAAAAATCTTTGAAATACCATTCTCCCTGCTCACCCTGAAAAATACCAAATTCCTAGCCAGTAGACTTTTTTTCCCCTCAAAACCATGATTCTAAACCAGGTTATTGATTTATCCAGAGTGGCTCTATTTAGAAATCAGGAGGTTCTATTCTACTGAGTCTTTCATTTTGCACACTTGCCAACTGGCCTTTTTCCACATTAAATTTCTTTGATTCAGTTGCCAAGAAGATCTTTTTTTCTGAAAATTTAGGGACAACACATTGCTTGCCTCCCTCTCCTGGGTTGATATGGTAAACAAAGATCAAGTGTCTATTAAGCAACATTGCTGAGAACTAACAGATCTTTTATATCTGTTTACAAGATCTTAAGGCCTTGATCTGGCAGCTAGCAGATTACTGTTTATATTTTGTACTGAGACTGGAGGAAGCACTTGTTACATTTGGAAGCCTATTTGGAATTAATGTAGTACCTATCATTTAAATAGATTATTAGGTCACAGTTTCATTTTCCATAAATTTTCAGTTTGACAAAGAACCCTTCTTAAAGGAAAGATTGGAAACCGGAATGGAACAGCATTCCATACCAAACTAGATATAGTTACAAACAAAACCAGAGAATGTTATTTATAAAATCAAATATTCAATTTGATTTGAGAGTGAGTACCCCATAACAATCTTTAATACTGCATCATTTTTCCTAGAGTGCCCATTTTGGGTAATGGTTTCAGATCATCTGTCCTTTAAGAAATGCTCTGAAGGGTTACATACACCTCGACCATCTAGGATTTTAAAAACAGTTGATAATGATACTTAAATACACACTTTTAAATGTATAACTTCAAATAAAATAGCAATACTTCAGGATATCCAGAAAACAAAATCATTTTGCAGGATAGAAAGTCAAGGTTAACACTACTTTAGATTGTTTGATGTGGTTGGAAACAATTTCCATCTTTCCCATGTACAACTATTTTAGCTGAGATTAAAAAAAATTACATTGAATTCAGAAAGATAAGAAATTATGGGCAATTTAAGATGTTGAATATTAATCTATTACAGTTCATTGAGTAAACCATGGTTAAAAACAAAGCCTGTTGCTCACTGCAAACACAAAAAAAAACACTTGCCTTAGTGTAAGATGGTTGTTACTTTAAGTGAAAACACCTTCTTATTTTGGAATGCATGATTCTTTGAGCCTTCCTAGATCCTACATTTATATCTTGATAAACACATTACATATACAACTTGCCATAAACTGTCCTGATTGGAGTAAAACATCTGCAGCATTAAAATGGCACATTTGAACAAGATGGTAATATGGAATGTTAAAATTTGATCGTGATTTCTACAGAGGAAACGTGCATATTGAAATTTTCTACGCAAACTATTTTTATACAGTTGAAATTTTATGCATAATACCATTTTTCAGGTTATACTGGGGGGAAAAAAAAAAATCACTACATAAGTGGTCGAGTACTCAAACTATTTTCAGCACAATACATGAGATGTGTTGTTACAATCTGCCTGAAAAGGTACTGAAAGAAGATTCAATAGTAACTTTCAAAAGGGACTTTGATAAATACTTGAATGGGAGAAAATAGCAAGGCAATAGGGAAAGAAGGGGATTGGGAATAATTGGATAGCTCTAAGAGCCATCATAGGCACAATGGGCCAACTGTCCTCCTCCTGTGCTGTAAGATTCTAAAATTCTATTGTATGAACTTCTTTTAGGTTTAGAAAAAAAATTCCATTGATATAATTTTTTTTATATAAATCATACCCCACCTTTAAAATGTTTAGAGAACAGACACATTTTGAACAAGTGACTAGAAACACCCAAAAAAATTGCATGCATCAATAATGGAAACATTCAGATAATTCAGTTTAAAAGCACAATTATAATATAACCTTCTAGTGTGGATTAGGTTGGGGAGGTGGGGCACAATCTTAGTATGATATGTGGAGTGTGGAATAGTTCAGTGCAATGTGGGGCAAAATAGGATTAACTTGATGTTCAAACCTTTTGAAGAAAATAGCTAATTTTTTTTATAAGACAAAACTGGTCATTAAGCTGATAAAACTAGTACTGTATTCAGAGGTTCTTCACGATAGGACAAAAACTGCACATGCTTGAATAACAATATAATAATGGAACCTAGACTCGTTGACTCTAAGTTTCGCATGATATTGTATGCTTCAACATGTTTCAAAAGTAGAACGAAAATCTGGATTAAGGTGATGCTAAAACACAAAGGCTGCCCTATAAATTTCAGTCACATCTCGTCCCAAAGATGTCATCTGAAGGAAATTTTGTCAACTTGAAAAACACTAATTTCTTTGCCATTGATTTAAGTAGGTTATGTTATTAATCTAGCTGCCTAGACTTTGACAAAAAAAACGGCTAGTTCTCTGCATCCTGATTTTGTACCATAGGCTTGTTTCCAGTATTTGTCGATCCTTCATAGCGTTGTGATGCAATGGCTGCCTGGTGGGACATACTCTTTCGAACAATATCTCCTTTTCGCCACAAAGTTATTTCCTATGTGTGAAACAAACAAATAGTAATATTGGATACAGAAATAGATTTCTGTTACCAACATTTCATGATGTTAAAACAATGCTGTGCTTTCAGGAAAAGTACTTTAGATGTTGGGGGACATAAACACTACATATATTAAATGTTTTTAGTGTTAAGGAGGCTCGATGTAGCACTGTTTTTCTCAAAATATGCCCGTAAATCTGGGAGAAACTCCATTTAACGTCAAAAGCATCATAATTAAACTTGCCGAAATGAAATCATCTCAAATGTACTGAAACACATGTTGCTTAGACAGCCAGCTTGTAGCACTCAGTTTCTCAATGAATACCTCTGTTTGGTATCTATACTGCAAAATGTTTTGCACAATTCTAGATCACAACAGTGGTCTGTTTGCCGCCAATATACAGTTTTGGATACATCATGGTTCTTGAAAGATGTCCCTAGGATAATTACATTGATAAACAGGCTCGTGCTGATGTGATAGCAGTAACATATGACAGAGTCATTTACAATGATGAAACAAACACTGGAGGCAACCTGGATATCAACTTCTTAAGGAAATATGATAAACTGGAACTCAAAGACATTCAAGTTCTGTCAGAGGAAACTGATTTGAGCTTAAGAAAAATTAAAATACAACCTAACGCAGATAATCTTACACAGGGTAAGTAGATAAATTAGGCAGATGGATAAGCATGTCAGTTGAAGAGGTGTGGGTGACCACCCTCACTCCAGCTTATTTTATTGCTCAGAAAGTGTGGCATAATTTGCCTGCTCCAGGAATTAGCATGACAAGTTCCTGGTGAAGGTGATGTATAAAATTTGCTATCTAATGAAGGGAATATTGTTGGGTATGATAAATTCTAAGCAAGCACATGGTGCAAAACAATCAATGAAAAGTTCTACAGGCTAGCAATAGAACAGAATCTTCCATGGATTACAAACAAAACAGAAACAGTACTTGCTGATAAATTTGCAATGATTGCCATCTGATTTCTGAACACAACACAATCTGTCTAACAGCAATATTTATAAATATGCCAATGAGCTCAGCATTTTTCCAGTTGAATTTTAAGAGAAAAATAAGAAGATGACTATATCTATTGTTTTGCTGTCAAGAGAAACCACAAAGTCAGGGGCATTCACCAGATGAAAGTAACTACACCTGCCAAGCAGATCCTGGAGCTTTAGAACAATTTAGCTTGGTTAAACATTTTCACAGTGCTTCTGCTCTCTATGAATATTCCTAAAGTGGTATCTCTTGGAAGCCCAGGGCTACAAAACAGTCAACTTCAAGCAGTGATTGTATGACAAATGCAACATCAATCGCTCTCTAAACCACACAAGTAATTTTGGCCAATTTTAAAGATAGTTCACTATGATTAGACCTTTTTTCGTTAAGCTATTTGATATAGGATTTGATATTTTTGCATTGAAACACTGATTTGGATAAAGGTTATTTTGCAGTTCCAAAAGCAGGTTAATTATTGACTTTTTTTTCAAAATTTTTATTACCCGTTGATTTATAAAATCATTGAAGAGGTGATAAATTTGGTATGAAATTATTTTTGTTTTGGCAGAGCTTTAGCCACATTAGAGAACATGCTTTGCCTGAATCGATATCAAACATCACGCTTACATTATAGAGTGGTCTACAAATTTCTGTACTGAAAAGCAGTTTAACAACAGGAAGCTGAAATATGGATGTTATTCAAAGTTAGTGCTGTAACCATTTAGAGGTACAAACATTGTAGATTTACACGTGTAGTACACTTCAGGTGATTCTGGAGGAAGGGGAAAGAGGTTTGAAAAGCTGAGTGCATGAGTCTAACAACATTTTACAGATGTGCAAATTAAGATTTTTTTAATACTACACCTGTCTTGCAAATAGCTTCAGCATGTAGAAGAAACAGTAAGTGCAAATAAAACCATCATGAGCAATTCCCAAGAGGATATAAAACACTATCATTGGGCTAATTCTGTAAACGTTATAATTTTTAACAAATGCTGTTGTGACTGTAACAGAGGAGATAAAGGAGCCTCTTTGCATCTGGAAGCCCACTCTTCAGAGAATATAAAACCTTTTCTTTGAAAGTGGCAAACCAGCCTCAAATCACGAGTTAATTCTGTAATGTCTGCCAACAGAAATTAGGTATGTGAATAGAAGATGGTCATGTTAAAGCATACATTCATTACTCAATGGCCTAGTTAACTAGTACCCACCTGTTGTTTGAAATATCTCCTTTCCTCCTCATCAATAAGAACGAGATTGAGGTAGTATCGTACAGAGAACTTTTTGTTGATATCCCTCATTGTTGGAGTTAATTCATATCCAGCCAGAAAAAGCCTGATAGGAATGGACTCACCTATAAAAACAAAGATTTATTCAAAAAAATGTACAAATGAACTAATCAAAATTATAATATTTCTTTTTACCATATAATAAGTAGGAGACACTAGCAAGAGATACTTTAGCCCTGGTCATCATACTGTTGCAATGCAGGTTTTCTGGTTTTAATCCAATGTGATATGACTGGTGTCTGTTACTGGTTGAACTGACAAGAAAGCCAATACAATGGTTCCTGCTGTTTGATACAATTAGTAATTTGTGATTGAATCAGAGTCACTAGAATTTTAGTAATGATTCAAACCACCACGATTGTACATTATAAAGTGAGAAGATAAAGAAGATATTACATAGATAATTTACTGCATTTATTAATATTGGAATTTTTAAAAGGACATTTACCTCATATGACAATGCAATTTTAACTGACTGAGCCATATCTATCGGCCTGACTTATGATGGCAATGCTACATTCACAAGATGGTGGTGATCAGGTCAGGGCTACTGTACAAACGTTAAGGTGGCTGATTAATGCTGGGTACATTTGTAAAAAGAAACGTCTATTTTAGAATTATTTTCCCCCAGGTGTTCTTTGTTGTTAAAAACGACTGAAATCTTAAGAATAGAGGCTAAAAAAGGAGGAAAAAAGTAACAAGAAAAATATCTGACATTTTGAATGGAGTTATTTCAGTTGTCTTGCCACACATTAGCTAATCTTCTTTCAAGCACAGAGATACTACTGCTAAAGTGAATTGTCCAGGAAGACAAATTCTGTTCTTTAGAGAAAGTACAAATATGCTTAAAAGCTTTGAGACAAACCTCTGACTGGGGCTCCATCCATTATTTCATACTTTGCTATTGTGTCGTTTTCATGAAACACATTTGGTCCAGTTCCTGTAGTTTCCCTCTTTATGATGTCAATCTCCATGTGCTTGATCTTGATTCGAACCAATAAGAAATAGATCTTTCCCACAATCACATCCTTCAAATGGTACCTAGTGTTAGAAGAGATATTAGGACTTGTATAATCAGACATAGTTGTTTCTATGGCTTACCATTGGAGTACTCCTTTTCCTTTGATTGTTTCAAAATATTATATCCACTTTTGTGCAAAAATTTCAGAAGATATATTGTAAGAGACAAAGAAATATATATATCCAGAAAATAATTTTCACACACCATTCTTAGAACTGAAATGCAAAACAAGATGGGATGGAAATAGTGCTACAATTCTCCATAGCTTCACAACTTAAGCAGTGCAAGACCTGTCAACTATCAGAATACACACAGCTTCTTCTGTAAGATGATAGCTGAGATTCTGCATGTATGCAAATATTAGAATTGAAACATCGTGAATATACAAGAAACATATTTAGATTAATTAGTAATGCTGCCTGCAGAAGTGGAATTAATTATAACAAATTCAGTTTAAATGTACATTTTGTTTAAGTATCTCAAGCCTTTTAAAAGCTTAATTGGTATGCCTTTTTTAAAAATGGACAAGATGGTATAGTGGACTAAACATGGATCTTCCACTTTTGGGACCTTTGTTCAGAAGTTAACACCAGTGTCAGACCTACAGGCAAATATGCTAAACCGAAAAAATTTTAATGTAAATAGTTGCTTCATAGAATGGAATTAAACATTGCTATAAAGAGAGACCATGTCAAAGCTATTTGGCTTGCACTTATTTGTTTTGAAATTCAAGAGATGAAACTTCAAAATGGAACACCAATTTATACAGCATAAGAGGATGCTGACTTTTGGACGATGGTTGGCATGGAGATGCAGCAAGATCATGAATTGTCAAACTCAGTGAAAGAAATTCAGACCAAGTACGTAGATTCTGAATGGATGTGGTGTTGCCATGAAAAATGCAGAGGTAACTGGCAATATCCTCCGCATGATACTTTTCTAATTAAGAAAGGTACAACGTTCCAATGCATTTTGTCTAAAATGTACCAGATTGTATATGTTAACATATGTAACTTCTTATATGCACGAATGCATCAGAATGCGAGCCTGGCTGATAATCTTAAATTGATTTCTGGAGTAATTCTTAACACAGTTAGAATTGTTTAGCAAACGATAGCGAACTCACGTATAATATTGGAATTGGTATTCTGAGGTTTGTAAGCACGGGATGATTGTATATGCCATTCATGCTCAATCTAGATATATGATTTTACTCCAGTACTCAAACTCATGCATTATTCATTTGTATGGTAGGCAAAATGTCTGTGTGACTTGACAGTAGCATTCCTTTAGTGAAGGAACCACTTGCATTCTTACTGCATAGTAGCAGTGGGAGATAGCTAGCTTCACCTTCTGTTCAAATCTTTGAAATACCTTTGCCTTCTGACAAGCCCTTTCATGAGTTTGCATAATATACAGCAAATGCTGATTTGAACAAGGTAGCCTTATAAACTCACAAAAGGTCACCATGTCTGGCCCTGAACAATGCTTAGTACCTCAGATTACTTTGTAAGACATGGTAATATTCTTTGTAAAAGTTGGTGTCCCTTTTCCAAGTTTTTACTGCATGAGAGTTCTGATGAGTGCAAGATGAAAAGCTTCAACTTAGTGCCATTTTTAGCAAAGCAGAGATTGGAGATTCGGCACGATCACTTAGCAAAACTTTGAGATGAATAATCTCATACCAGCTATGTTTAAGTTTGGGTGTTCATTATAAATTTATTTTTATGCTAAATTATGCGCTTTATTTTGTGGACAGTTTTTAGTCCCTTGCTTTGATATCTCATACCACTGAATCTAAAAATGATCTGCATGTGCAAACTGATCAACTAATCGCAGTGATCAGGGGCACCACTCCAACAATGTCATGAGAATACTTGACACGGGAGCAAATTCTCATGCTGCATCACCTATGGGAACCACTAATATCTACTATCCTATCAGTAATGGTCTATTAAAAATGGATGTTTTGCAAATTTTAACAATTAAGGAAATGAGAAGAAACTGCAGTAACAAAGTCTATAGAATAAACTCAATATTCCACCAGTACTAATCAGTGTTTCATTTGAAAGAAACCTAATTCACCCACCCACATTCTTCTAAATTTATACCTATGAAATACACTTTGCTGTGTATTGATATGGGGTTGTATTTCATACACCAATACATTTTTAAAACAGGCTTACTTTCAAACCTAAAAAAAATTAAAATGATGTGAAAGCAAAGTCAAATCTTAAAGGATATAATGCAAGCTTCAATGTAGTAAACCAAACTGAGTTTCTTCTTTTAAGCAAGACATTCAAAATGAAGAAACTAAATTTGGCAAATCTTAAAGTAGTCTGGAAAATCAGCACAGTGCTCCAGCATTCCAGTAATTTTAAAATCTCCATAATATCTAAACAACTAGCACGATGATGTTCCATCTAAGAAAAAGAAGAAACTAGATCATTTGGAATTAAAACTATCAATTTAGAAGGGAGGAAAATTTGATTGCATATATTTTCACTAGGTATTCAGCATAAATAAAGTTCATATTTTAAAGTAGATTAATGGGAAGTACACTCTACTGAATTTCATTAATATTCTATACATTGGAACTACAGGTTGTACATACAGCAAATGTTTTACATAGAATATTCGCTGCGACTCTCAAATTCCATTTCTGTGGGTGGCACTGTCAGCACTGTATTTTTATTATCCATCCCCAAGATGATGCTAGTTAGCTCCCTTCTGAATCTGCTGCAGTACTTGTACTGATGACGTGCACACAATGGTGTGTGGCAGGGAATACCAGGATTTTGAGTAAGCAGTCCTGCTGTTTGTTTCATTCATGATAGCATGACCTGGAAAGACTTTGCAGTCCATTCTTCAGATAATATATTTTGCAAATACAGTTTGCCATGGTGAGGGGGTAGGCATAAAGTCCAGTGGTATCCACTAAGGAGAGTGCCTGGTTCTAAATAGTGTTGTGCTTCTTGCCTGTTGTGGCTGCATCCAGACGGCATAGTATGCATCCGATCATATTGCTGAGTTGAGCCTTATACATTGCCGTAAAGTTTCAAAGGGTCAGGAGGTGAAAAACTCATCTCAGTTGTCAGCCTTTACCTTGTTCTTCTAACCATGATATTGCTACGGCTGGTTATTAAGTTTAATCAGTGCTGATCTCCAGAATAGTGGGGAACTTAGCAGGAATGGTGCTGTTGAAGGTGGTTGAGGAGGAGCAGAGATGATTAGACTGTAACAACCTCAACATTACCTGGCATTGACATGGTGCCATTTGCTAACTTAAGCCTAGGTGCTGTGCAAATATGACAGTAGGTTTGGACAGTCTTCTTCATTAGAAGGAGTTAAAGCAGCTCATCAAATGGGAAATCAGAAATAAAGTGACCACATGAAGAAGAGAAGGTCACTGATAAAGCAGCTAAGGATGATTCTGCCAGGGACATTTGCAGCAGTACAGTCTCTGGCCTCCAAAATGTATGGCCACATTTCTTTCTCAAGTGTCCAGTTACATAGGTTTCTCCTTGCCATCTATAAATCGTATTTAAATGCAGGCTCCTTGACATTACTGACAGCTATTCTCAGCTCTCCCCTACTATTCAGCCCTTGCATCCATTCCTGGATCTATTTTTGGAAGGTGTTGGAAACGAAATGGTTCTGTCAAAACCTAAATTAAGCAAGAACGAGCTTTTTTTAAAAAAAAAGACAGACATCCTTAATTTAAAGATATGTTCATTCAAGTTAACAGATTCACAGATCAGCATATGATCCTTTTTATTAATGAAATTTTATTGCACTACTACTCCTAGTTTTTGAGAATCACAGGTATATTCAACGCCATCCATCTATCTATGGATGAAATCAGTGATGAAACAGGCAACGTCACTGATTTAACTTGTGGTGCCCAATAAGATTCAATAATCTTTTAAACACTATTTTCTTAGCAAATATATGACTGTACATGAATTTTCACATGTGCTAGGCTACATCATTTCTTACATTTGAGGAAACACAAGTCCACCTGTTCCCAAAACTTTTTTTCACTGTGCCTGAGGCAGTCATTGGCATGTATAAAGCACCAGCTGATGGTTTTTTTCACACTGCTCGGTACCAGTATCCACAGTAACTAAAACTGGGATCTTCAGCAGAGTGGAGGAGTTTGATTCCATAACTTAAAGTCAAGAAACACCAGTCTCTGCTATAAATTTTACTTTTACAGCCTAGTAAAAAGGCAACTTATCACTTCTTGGTTGTTTGGTCAAATCTGCCTGAACGTGAAAACTTCTTCTGGTAGTGCAAATGCAGTCACATATAGGGCATAAGATCTTAAATCATATCTATGCAAGAGGTAGCATCACTTCTGTTAATGACAGACACAGGAGTTCACTTGGAGCTTCAAGGAATTAACAGTCTCCATTTTATCTGTTCATTGAATTGACCACCTTTCAAGAGCTTCACCTGATTAAAGATTCCATTGACATCAATACGAAAGAAAATAAGGCAGGGTGTATAGGTGGTGGTTAATTCCATACCAGCAAAAGTTAGAATTACCCCTAAGAATCCCATTGAGAATTGGATCCTGCACTCTTTAAACTTCTTTCAATACTGCATTGATGTACATATCATTTCAACCACAGTCAAATCCACAAACAGTGAAATCCTCTTGTACGGAAAACAACTTTGAAGAAAAAAAAAATGCATATATCCAGATCTGTTGATAAGTATATGGCTGCTCCATGTGTGGAAAAAAACTCAATCATTAAGTATTTAGAAATTAAGGGTCTGATTTTAATTGTGCAATTGGATGGGCTTTGCGGGAGTTAAAATCTCATCCCAAGTCTTTTATATTTTGTCTTAAAATATGTGGAGTGCTCAAAAGCATGTTAGGATTTGTGTCAAAATTTAGAGTTATGTTTCTGACCTTACACCCCATCCTGCCCCACTAACCACCTTTCTCAAATATTCTACTACTTGAAGTGTCCTCTCAATAAGATTGAATCTGAGGTGAGGGAAAATCACAACTGAGCTTGATCTTCTCCTCATTCAATATCACACAGCATTCAGTCTTGGCTGCTCTCTTCCAAACTGCCCAAGTTGGCAATGTTGATTCTCCCATCTTTCTGCATTTTTTGTGTGCATAACCTGAACCCATATTTAGATCCATGCATCAAACTTACAAAATAGCTAAGGCATATTTGACATGTAACTTGATATAACCAGACTGCAGAAACACCCAGGCATAGTTAGTAAAAATATACCTCTAATTCACAAGTCTGACTATATGCAGCTTTCTTTCAATCATCCCAAACAATTACCTACAACAGGATTTCACTGTACGTACTTTGACTTGTTGTATTCAAATTCAATGTGCAGGCAATCTTCAATCCCAACTTCCATTTTGATGGATGAGTTCATCTCGGGGTAGGTACTGAGGGTGTGAACAACAATGTCCATTTCCTTTGTAATATCATTCAATCTACGGCTGATGGTTGCTCTTAGAAAGTACCTGAATTTTAGGAAGAAAAGAAAACATGATCTGAGGTTTTCCTTTAAAAAAAGGTCGATTATAAATCTTTCCTCGGATATTATTATTACATCTCTAATATCAGTATCTACTGACATTCACAACCATATTTAAATTATTGATTTTTGTTTCATAATACAATGCAAGACTACCTTTATTGCCCATCGTAGTTGTTCTGAAGTGATGAATCCTGTTAAGCTACTACAATCCTAATGATGATTTATGGGACATTACCGTCCTATGCAGGCTGGATCAGGGAGCAGCGTCCAATTAAGCAAATGTGTAAAATCAAAAATTGGCAACTACTGGGTGAAAACCGAGGGCCAGATTTTCTGTGCGAGTGGCAACACCATACGGACTGTCATCCTGAACCATTTTATGAAAGAGTTTCGCATTTCTGAGAGGAGATTCTTTTCAGTTCTTCATCAGAAATGCAGAGTCGTAATATCATTCTGACAATCCTTTCGTAGCACAAAACTGTCAGAGGAAGGAAAATGTTCTCAATTTCTTGCTAAGGTCTCCATACGATAATATAAAGGTTCTCATGAGGAAAATAAGAGAACATAAGGAAAATAAGAGAACATCTATTGGGATGTAAATGTTTTGAACTATCAGATTTGGAAAGACACAGCTGGGATGATTACACGATCTTTTCAAGTTGAACAGTTACATAGGAACAAAGATTGTTTTAGCATGATGTCATTTAGAAGGGAAGCTCATCGAAGGGGAATAAATTCACTCCATCAAATATGAAAACGAAAATGTACCAGAAAGAAGTTGATACATCCCAATTTTTTTTTAAAACAGTATATTAGAAATGTCCCATGATCTCACTTACAGCTGGAAGAAATGGTAGGTGCCAGGGTAATTACTTTTTTAAAGGGTCTTTGTGAAATTTTCTTGAAAGCTGCTTTTTTTGATTTTCACCAGTGCATGTATTAAGTGATGCAGTCATGTAGTAATTTTACCGCTGCATTCATAATTTTTTAAAAGGAGTTTCTTCTTTAGATAGATAAGGTAGCAGAAGTATCAAAGATTGTATACAAATGTAAATAAGTCTTTTAATTTGGAATCTATAAATGTTTTAAAAATTTAATATGAACATAGGAACAGGAGTAGGCTATTAAGTTCCTCCAGCCTGTTCTACCATTCAATAGATTTGGCTGAACTGTGGCCTAACTCCACATACCTCCCTTTGGCCAATATCCCTCGATACCTTTGCTCAATAAAAGTTTACCTTTTGCAGATTTAAAGTTAACAACTTATTTAGCATCAATTGCCGAAGAGAGTTCCAAACCTGTACCAATCTCGGGAAAGCAGCCAACATAACTGGTTATATTATCTTCCAACGGGCAGAAGATACAAACGTTTGAAAACACGTACCAACAGATTTAAGAACAGCTTCTTCCCTGCTGTTATCAGACTTATGAATGGACCTCTCATATATCAGAGTTGACCTTTCTCTGCACGTTCTCTGTAGCTGTAACACTATATTCTGCATTCTGTTCTTACTACCATGATGTACTTACGTATGATTTTCATCATAGAATCCCTACAATGTGGAAACTTCGGCCCAACAGTCCACACGACCCATCCCCCTATAACCCACCTAATCTACACATCCCTGAACACTACAGGCAATTTAGCATGGCCAATCCACCTAGCCTGCACATCTTTGGACTGTGGGTGGAAACCGCAGTACCTGGAAGGAATCCACACAGACACAGGGAGAATGTGCAAACTCCACACAGTCGCCCAAAGGTGGACTCAAACCTGGATCCCTGGCCGTGAGGCAGCAGTGCTAACCACTGAGCCACTGTTCTGCCCTTGTCTGGTTAGTACGGAAAACAATACTTTTCACTGTATCTAGGTACATGAAAATAATAAATCAAATCAAAAAGTGCTTCCTGACATCTCTCCAGAATGGTCTAGCCCTAAATCTCAGACTTTGTCCCCTAGTTCTAGAATCTCCAACTAGTTAAGTGGTTATCTTAAGTGGTTCTCCTGTTAATATCTTGAAGACTGCCATCAGGCACACCCCCACCCCCAAACCTTCTAAATTCTACTGAAAACAGGGCTTTTTAAAAATTATCTCTCCACATAACTTAGCCCCTGAAGTCCAGGTATCATTCTTGTAAACTTACATTTAACTCCTCCATAGACTTCCTGAGGTGTGGAGCCCAGATGTCCTTACAGTACGCCAATTGGGATCTAACCAGCATAACTTCAGTGTTCTTCTACTCCAGTCTTCTAGGTATCAAGGTCAGCATTCCATTGCCTTCTTGATTATAATATCCTACCCATGTAATCTTCTCACGCATTAACAAAAACATTTCAATGCAAACTTGTGTAAAAATGATGCGACATAATACTGATTTTCCAGGAACTATTTCTGCAGCTAGGAAAAACATTAGAAACAGAAGTGATCGGAGGAGCAGCTCTTCACAGATTCTGTCTGTCCCATGTATGTGGATGACCTTGCGCTCATTGGTCACACCTCCATTGAATTCTTATAGGTTTTTTGGGACTTTTTATTACTCCACTGCTTCCATGTATATTGAGTGTTGTTAGGGGCATTTGTTTTAATGTCTCTTAGCTAGCTAAAGTTATATTTCTGGGGCAATGAAGACCAAGAGGAATTTTTGCAACTTTTGTTAAAGTGAAAGAAAAATATGAGGTTTATCTTTATCAGGGAACATGCAAACTCCAGTAACGGTGTCAAATTTACTAAAGGTGAAATTAAAGAATGTACAGCTGATACCCATATGATGAAACCAGGGGGAAATCAGATAAATTGATCTTCAAGATATGAAACAGAGGGGTTATTTCTCAAGATTTGACTTGCTCTAATGTAATGGTGTTGGGGAATAAATTGAAACTTTGTTTTGCTGCTTTTTTTAAGATTAAAAAAAAACTTCCCTATCTAGGTAACTTGATTAGAGTTTTTTTTGTTTTCGTCTCGTGTGTAATAAATTTCTGTTGTGTTAAAGAAACTCTGCAGTCTGTGTGACTGTTTCAGTGAATGGCCACCAGATTAACTAAAACTTTAAAAAATTATGCATCAGATCAGATTTCATTCTGGGATCTGATAGTACGACAGGACAATCAGCTCATCTCCTAACACTTAAATCTAGTAATTCCACAGTACGAAACAAAAAACAAATAGAATGTTAAAACATTCAAATCCACACAAGCCCATGGTAAATTTTTGTTGCCCGCAAGTTATTGGATTTAATTTTTACCACTGAGACACAGGGTGTCATTCAAGCCCTTAAGCAAGTGCAGAGAAGAACCATGAGGGTGGCTGTTGTTGCAAATATCTGGGTTATGACGAAAGCTCAGAGACACATTTGCAATTCTACTGTTAAATGACTTGATCTCAAAGAGAAATGCATTGTTTATTGTAGTAAAAAATTTGGTAAATTTAAACCTGGAAAATGAATTCCAAGTTAAACTATGAAAGCAAAATAAAAGGGTATAGAAACAGCAGTCAGTAACTTAATCCATCAAGCTTATTCTACCAATCAATTAAATAATGGCTGTAACCTGTGCCTTAACTCCATCTAACCCTCCCTTCATTCTGTAATGCACTTACCACACACAAGTCTATCATCTTAGTTTTGATAATTTCAAGCGAACTAGCCTCTTTTGGTGAAGAGTGTTCCAGAGTTCACTGGCCTTTGTATGAAGTGGTGTTTTCTAACAGAACCCTTGAATGGTGTAGGTCTGATTCCCAAGAAATGCTCTCTTTTTCTGGGCTCTCTCGCCAGTGTTTCTTTTAAGACAGAGAAACTATCAAACCTTTTAAATCATTTAAAACACCAATTGAACCACCCCTTCTTCCATATCTTGGATCCCAAACCACATAACTGGTCCTCATAAATTAACTCTTTCAGTCTCAGAGACAGCTCCAAATGGGTAAAAAGCAAATTAAAGATTGATGTCAGTTAAGATCTTTTTAAACAGTAATTAACATACGGAACACTTTTCTGCCATATTGTGGAAGCAAAAATATTCAAACATTTAAAATAACAGTTGCAGTGATGGGGTTTGTTCATTGGATGTTGAGTTAAAGCCAGGGAGCTAGGGGGGTTAAATAATTTTTACCATTCATAAGTATCACAATCTTCTATGCATGATATTTTTAAATTCCAGTTTACATTTATTAAAGACACAAGAGCACAAGATTGAAGCTGAAGCTGAGGCAGGGCTTACCTTAACTTCACATTCTGGCCAGTGTATGATTCATAAGGCTTTTCTACATGTGTAAACTCAAAATCAAATGTTTGGGACTGTGTCATCTCGCCAGGTCGGGCCAGGTCTTTTACCAAAGACACAAACTCATGGTGATTCCCTCGGTCGTAGTACAGTTCTGTTAACAGAAACCACAACTTTGATTATATACCTTGTGAAGCATTCAAACATTTAAAATCTTTCCTTTTCAAGTGTTATGCTTGCCTCCTACAACCAACAGTTACACCATGAAAATCTGAATTTTAACAAGTTCTAATCTTTTCCAACTTGCTTCTTTTACATTATCCAATCTACGGAAATACAATTCAAACAAATTTGCAATGACTGTCACACTTCACAAGGGAGACATTCTTCACAGAAAATCTAGTCTCAGAAATTTGCAGGTTTTCAGCAATTCACAATTTTAGTTTTTTTAAAAAATGCTGATTATTTCTTTATTCCATAATTTGCTGCCCACTTGTTCACCATTGTTAAATGAAGCTGGTAAAAAAGTTGCGTGCAAAAATAAACTTTGCTTTTTTGGAATTCCCAAACAGATATTCAGGCAGAAAAAAAATCCAAAATTGCTTACAAATTCTACTTTAATCTAATACAATATTTATCATTGACACAGTAAATCTGTTCTGCTCAAATCCAGTTTCAAGTTCTACCTTCTTTCGTCATTGGATTGATTTTTCAAAAAGGCAATGCAAACAATTACGTCTTACTTAGAATTGTTCCACAGTTATACAGAATATGAAGAACACCGACACCATTCTGAATATTGCAGTGATTTGCACAAATACACAAAATTATGCAAGCATTTCATATAGACTTGAATTTCAGAATCTCACTGTCTATATCTTTCTCAAGTCGTATTTTTATACTTTAAAAATTCAGCTACAGCTCGCAAAATCAATGTTCAACATTTTCAAGCATTTTCAATTGTTAGCTCATTAGACCAGATGCCTCCCAGATGGTCACAATCCATTCGACAACTAACCTATTTACTGTAATTAAATTATATTTCCTCCAGCAAAGCTACTTCAGTACAACTACAGCACTGGAATCTATCCACAAGTGGAAAATTACCTAGTTATGTCCTGTCCACAAAAAAAAAGGATAAATCTCAATCATAGTGATAGAAGATGTCATTACCAGAGCTATCAAATGACACTTACTCATCAATAACTTGTTAATTGCTACTCAGTTGGGTTTTACCAGGGCCATTAAGCTCCAGACCTCGTCAAAGCTCAAACATGGACAGAACAGCTGAATTCCAGAGCGGAGGCAAGACAGACTGCCTTCGACAGCATTTTGCACAAGTGTGGCACAAAGCAGCCCACAAAAGCTAAATTCAATGGGAATCTTGATGGAAAACTTAGACATTAAGTTTAACAATTTCAGAGCACGAACACCTCCCTCGATGTTATTTACCCACTCCCTTGTCTCCAGATCCTGCCCTGTATGGCTTGCTTCCAGCATAGACAGCACATTTTTGACTATTTACAGTTCCCATTATCACTTACCAAGCATTTACTACAACAAATACTTTCTGGTTTTGTTGGAAAACTCTGAGTCATATCTTGCACAAACGAAGATGACAGTGGTTGCTAAGGTGAAAACTCTCAGTCCTAGGACATTAGGATTTCCTCAGGGCAGTGTCCAAAATCCAATCACGTTCAGTTATCTAGTTCTTCAATGCGTACAGAAGGTCAGGTTACACACTACCTTGTAGACCATGGATGGGCTTGGTGCCGGGTTTGACGCTTTTGTCATTAGATATCCTGTTCCTCAAACAGCTAAAGACTGCAAGCTAAAGCTAAAGAGGCTAGATTGAATTGTATCTGCTGTCATTGAAAGTAGACTCCTAAGGTCATACAGTTGTACTGCACAGAAACAGACTCTTTGGTCCAACTCGTCCACGCTGACCAGATATCTTAAACTGATCTAATCCCATTTGCCCCCAGTTGGCTCATATCCCTCTAAAACCTTCCTATTCATGTACCAATCCAGATGCCTTTTAAATGTTGTAATTGTACTCGCCTCCTCTGGCAGCTTTTACCTTATACATACCACCCTCTGCATGAAAACGTTGCCCTTCAGGTTCCTTTTAAATCTTTCCCCTCTCACCTTAAACCTATGCCCTCTAGCTTTGGACTCCCCTACCTATCCATGCCCCTCATGATGTTATAAATCTCTATAGTCACCCCTCAGCCTCCGATGCTCTATGGGAAAATGCCCCAGCCTATTCAGCCTCTCTCCATAGCACAAACCCTCCAATCCCAGCAACATTCTTGTAAATCTTTTCTGAAACTTTTCAAGTTTAACAATGTCTTTCCTACAGCAGGGAGACCAGAACTGAACATAGTATTTTCAAAGTGGCCTCACCAATGTCCTATACAGCCACACCATGAAGTTCCAACTCCTTTAATCAATGCACTGACCAATGAAGGCAAGCATGCCAAATGCCTTTTTCACCACCCTGTGACTCCACTTTCAAGGAACTATGCATCTGCACCCTTGGGTCTCTTTGTTCGGCCACACCCGCCAGGATCCTACCATTAACTGTATAAGTTTTGGCCTGGTTTGCCTTACCAAAATGCAACACCTTACGTTTATCTAAATTAAACTCCACCTGCCACTCCTCAACCTGTTGGCCCATCTGATCAAAGTCCTATTGAAATCAGAGATAACCTTCTTCAATGTTCACTACACCACTAATTTTTGGTGTCATCTACAAACATACCAACCATACGTCCTGATTCACATCCAAATCATTTATATAAATGACAAAAAGCAGTGGACCCAGTACACACAGCTCGTCACAGGCTTCCTGTCCAAATAACAACTCTCTACCACCACCCTCTGCCTCCTACCTTCAAGCCAATTTTGTATCCAATTGGCTAGCTTCCTCTGGATTCCACGCAATCTAAATTTGCTACCCAGTCTATCATGCGGAACCTTGTTGAATGCCTTGCTGAAATCCACATAAGTTTTGATCCATAATGTCCAGTTGCTCATTGTAGATCTCATGTCAGAAGTCAACATTGCGGGCAGAAGCAGGCTGATAGAAAACCTGTGTCTTTCAGATCTTTAGCAATTCTCTCATATACCTCCACGAATGCATCAACGATGGTTTGGAGTTCAGCCAAAGTGCACATGCAAACAGGAGGCACTTTTATGCTTCAATTCAAAGAAAAAGGATAGGATGGTCTTAATTTTGTGCTGGAAGCAACACAGGCTGAATTGTTTCTTAGTTGTCCTATAGAGAAGCTCCACTCCTGCAGGAAGTTCCATGGAAATGGGGTGGTGTTGTGGAAAGAATGTTAGAGAAGAGCACATCTTTGCTTGAACACAGTTTGCATATTTATTTGGTCTGTGGTGCATTTGTTTGAGAGGAGTCCGATATGTTTTCATGTAGCAGGCACAACAAACATCTGCAGGCAGCCCAATTTGAGAATGCTGCTCCATAATCCCTCTGGTTAACAGAGTTGAAGGCTTTTGTAAGGTCAAAAAAGGTCATGTATAAAGTTTGCTTTTACTCTCACCACTATTCATGGACTTGGCTTTCTGTGGAGATCGTGTCTCTTAGTAGATGGAATCCACATGGTGACTCAAAAAGCAGCTCTTCAGCCACTGAGATAAGGTGATCATCAAGAACTTTTGCAATGACTTCTTCTATGGTGGATAGCAGAACATAATTACTTGCAATAATGGCATCTAGGAGATCCGTTGACATGCTCCCCTCCTTCTAAATGAGGGATATGAGGTAATGTACTCATTGCCAGAAATGTTTCTGTGATTTATTTCAGGGGGAATTCCATCTGCACCAGTGGCTTTGTCATAGCAGGCTATGGTTGTGCGGAGATGATAGGTTGTATCATGTTATAAGATATGATCAAGGGCACCCATGTGAAAGATTCAGTCTCAGTTGAAGAGATCTTCTAAATTCTCCTTCTAAGGAATGCCAACTCCTCTTTGCCCTTGATGAACGCCACTGTGTTCTTAGCTCTTTCAGCGTGATAGGCCCTTGGGTGTTTGCATCACAGATGGCTTGACTGCACCAAGGAATTTATGCACGTCATGGTGGCTGGCATATTTTTGGATTTCCTACACTCTCTCCACTCACCATCTGTTCTTTAGGGGTCATGGGTTTTTTTTTGTGGGTTTTCATTCTTCATTTCTCTTTAGAATTATATTTGCTCCTCATAATTTTGGAGATATTTCATGTCAAGGAATGCCTGTACTTGTGCTTTAATACCTCCTGGTCGTTCTAGTCAAACCAGTTCTGATAATTCCTGGTACAGCAATTTAGAATCTTCTTGCAAGTGGGCACTCAATGAATTGTTGCAAGATGACGTTTGAATATCTAAAACAGAAAATGATGGAGAAACTCAGCAGGTCTAACAGCACCTGTGGTGAGAAAGTTGCATTCATGTTTCAAATGCAGTGACCTTTCTTCAGCGCAACGATGGTTCTGTTTTATTATTATGCTCAAATATCTATTCCGATCACACATTTCCCCCAGTCATCATTCATATCAAACACAAAGGAGAGTATACCTAGCTCTTTAAAGATAGGTAAATAGGTAAATGTGACTGAAGTTCTCAATATAAGACACTGTGTACCCAAATGTTGCAGACAATGCAGAGACATTTCTTTACGAAGGTCACAAGATTTGCCAGCTCCTTTACACTTGTAAAGGTGGACAGTGGAGGCATCTTTATATTCTTGTAGCACGGTTCCTTCCTCTTAAATGGACTGAAAGAGCTCAGTGAACTTCTTGACCAGTCACTAATCTCCAGTCTTGTAGATCTCAGCTGGTACAGCAACAGTATCTGGAGCTTTGCCACCAGATAGGAATTTGATAGCACTCTTTGCCATTTACAGCTGCATTGATGACTCTTCCACACCATTAGAGCAATCTGTTCAAGGAACCTAGAATCCATTAATAAGGAGCTGGTAGCAGGGTATTTAGAAAATCATAAAATACAGTCAGTTAATTATTTTTTGTGAAAGGGAAATCATATCTGACAGATTTGTAAGAGTTCTTTAACAATGTAACATGTAGGATGCATACAGTGAAACTATCGTGTTTTTAGATTTTTAAAAGACATTTGGATAAGGTGCCACAAT